CGCAGTATCCCTGTCGGCAGGAGACTGTCTGACACGTGTCATGGCATCAGCGAGCAGAGTTAATGCTTGTACAAAGTATGACGTCACTTTGTCAGCTAACTCGCTCACTCCTGTTATGGTGTACGTGAGCAGAGCTTTTGAAGGAGACCATGTGCTGGTTGACAATAACACATGCCAAGTCAAGGGCCTCTCCCTTGAACCATCCTTGCACACAGTGCAACGTGGTAAGTTGCAAGTCCTTGTTGTCAACATGCACAGTCGAGAATTTCCCCTGCGGAAGAATACCTCACTTGTCGACCTTGTCAGATTCCCTCTCCCGGTGAGAGTGGAGGGTGAAGCCCCAGCTGACTTCCTCGTGAGTGCAGATCTCCCAGGCGAGTCTGCTGCTGACTCTTCCAACACCCGGCCAGTGCAGGAAGATGATCTAGCTTTGACAGACTATCCTGAAGAGGCCCCAAAACTTCTCCAGGTTCTCAATCGTGCACGTTCTGCAGTCGCACTAGATGGTGAGTCGATGGGTTTGACTCCACTGATCTTTCACCGTATTCCACTTGACAAAGGTACTAAACCCATTTACGTACCTGCGTACCGCCTGCCACATGCACAAAGAGTCTTTGCCGAAGAACTCATTACGCGGATGCTCCGTGATGGAGTTATTGAGGAGTCCACTTCCCCATGGAATGCTCCCCTTATTCTGGTCCCCAAGAAAGACGAAACCTGGCGCCCTGTTATTGATTACAGGAAACTGAATGCATGTACGATCCCAGACCGCTTTCCGTTGCCAGTTCTGAACGACCTGTTGCAGAACATCGGCGATAATAATGTCTTTTCAACTCTTGATCTTCTTCAAGGGTTCTGGCAGATCCCCCTCAATGATGAGAGCAGAGAGTTGACAGCTTTCTCTACGCCAACTGGTCATTACCAGTTCAGGAGGATGCCCTTCGGCTTGCGCAGAAGCCCAATCATGTTTAGTCGTTTGATGACGACAATTTTCCGTACCCTCCTAGGTGGCACGCTCATGGTCTACCTGGATGATCTCATAGTCATGTCGCAAGATGTCCCGTCACATCTTGAGAAACTTGACAGGGTATTGGACAGGCTAGCTCAGGCAAACCTTAAGGTAAAGCTCTCCAAATGTCATTTCCTCCGGAAGGAAATAAAATTTCTGGGTCACGTAGTGACTCAGAATGGCATAAAGACGGACGAGTCTAAAATCTCGGCCGTGCAGAAATTCCCCAGACCCATGATGGCGGATGCAGTCCGGTCCTTCATAGGCCTGGCGGGTTTCTACCGCACCTTTATTGCAGGTTTCTCCACCATTGCTGCACCCCTGACACGCTTACTCAAGAAGGATGCCCCTTTTGAGTGAACGTGTGATCAGGAACGAGCTTTTGTCATTCTTAAGAACAAGTTAACATCAGCCCCAACCCTTGGATTCCCTGATTTCACCAAGGCATTTACCTTGACGACTGATGCCAGCAAAGTTGGCATTGGTGCAGTCTTGTCACGGAATCTAATGGTAAGACAGCCTATTGCCTATGCTAGCCGTGTCCTTACTAAAGCGGAAGTCAATTATTCAGTGACAGAGCTAGAAGCTTTAGCCATTGTATGGGCCCTGAGTCATTTTCGGGATATCATCTATCATTATCCTATCAAGATTTACACAGATCATCTACCTTTATTGGCCCTTTTTGCGAATAAGAACCTCTCGGGAAAGCATGCTCGGTGGTCGCTCACTTTCAATGACTACAACCCTGAAATTTGCTATGTCCCAGGTAAGCAAAATGTTGTAGCTGATGCCCTGTCGATGCATATAGCATTCGTGAGTGTCGGCAACTCATTCTCTGTTGAGGATCTCTAGAGAGCCCAACAACAGGACCCTGTGTGGTCTCCAGTCCTTCGTTTCCTGACCAAGGAGGACGTTGACTTACAGGTCAAGTCTCCCGTTCCACTGAAGGATTTAGTGGTCAACCAAGGAGTACTGTGCCGTGTTGCACAGCTGGTGGACCCCGGCAGAACCATATACCAACTGGTGATACCAGAGTCCATGATACCAGCTACTCTTAGGTTGATCCACAATGTCCCAGGTATAGTGCACCCCGGGAAGGACCGCAGTATCAAGCAGGCATGAATGAAATATTTCTGGCCTAAGATGGCAGCGGACATTGCCAAGCATGTACACCAGTGTGTTGTTTGCCTACAGCACAAGGGTACCATTACAGGTCCTAACCCATTCTAAAGTATCCATTACAAAGGAGCCCTGGGAGAGAACTTCTGTCGACCTGTTGACGAACTTCTCGACCTCGGAGAAGGGAAATAAGCACCTGCTTGTAATGGTAGATAACTTGACGCGGTACAGTGAATTAGTACCCATTCCTGATAAAACCGCCGAAACAGTCGCTAGTGCTTTCCGTGAGCATGTTGTTCTTCGTCATACTTGCCCACGTGTCCTTCTGTCAGACAATGGGTCTGAGTTTATAAATAGCATAATGCAGGATCTTTGCTCCAGATTCAACATTCACCAAGTGCCAGTAGCTCCACGCCACCCTGCGAGTAATGGTCTTGCTGAACGTACAAATCGCAAAGTCCTGGAGGTGCTCAGGGTAACCGTTAACCCAAGTTGTACTACATGGGATGAGGCTATCCCAGATGTTCAGTGTACATTAAATTCTTCCCTCAACAGCTCGATCGGTGAGACACCTCATTTTGCTTTGTATGGCTATGACAAGTGCTTACCATATGAAATTCTGTTTGCTCCACCTAGACCTACTTACGATACTGATAACCCCAGTGTAGTAAAGATGAGGACAACGCAGCTTGTCTTCCAGCAGGTACGAGAGAACCTTAAGAAAGCTACTGATAGGTTCACGTCGGAGCGCAATGCCCGCGCCAAGGAAAGCAAAGTGGAACCAGGTTGCAAAGTTATGTTGCTCAACCCAGCGCAGACCCCAGGTATGCACAAACTTGTCCCAAAATTTGTGGGTCCTTACCGTGTCCTACGACAGCTCCGTGGCAATAAGTTCAAGGTGAGGGAGATTGCTACGGGAACTATCAAGGAAGCCCACCTTGATCACATGAAGTATGTGGACCATGTGCAGGCCGAAGCAGAGCTGGAGTCGCGTGCGTTGCAACGCCACAATCAGACCAATGCTAGGGACAACCCGTCTATCCCTTCTCCCACTACTACTGGTACGGAAGACGGCCCAGTAAGGCTCCATACTTATGGCCTGCGACCCAGAACAACAGTACATTTCTGTGACATTGATGTACCTACTGACTTGTCTGACTCCTATGCTAGTTATGCTAATTGTTTGCTTGCAGAAATGGGTATAAATGCGCACACATTGTATAGCTAGTCGATAATGGAGTCAGAGTGGACAACATCATGTAATTATGTAAATACTTTTAGAAGGGTACCCAGAGTGTAATGAATTCCATGGATATAGTATTATTGTAGGTATGTGCACCCAGTGTTTTTATATAAAAAAAAAGACCCTGTATTACGGTCAGGGCAGTGCTGCCCTCTGAGTCACATGTCACACCTTAGGAAATGCTACTGTCAGTCATTGTTTGCAGATGTGAGGGTGCAACATCGTTCATAGACGAGTGGTCAACTGATGTTCAGCCCTGCGGACAACCTGTATATAGAAGATTTTAGTTCCAGTGCTGACGTCTCCAGACTCTCTCCTCGATGAAACAGCGCGGGCAAACCAGTTTTCTCTTCCCCTGGATGGGAGAGTTTTTTTTTTTGCCTGTTGCATTTTTATGTCCATTTTTTATTTACTAGTGAGCGAAAGCCAGTCCCTCTCTGGGGTAGTTAGTGTAAGTAATTCCTTTATACCTATGGGCCCACCAGTATTGTCACGTCGGGACGACGCGAGGTGCGTGGCCGAGCAAATGTAGACAGCCTGTACTGTCAGAACACACAGCCTAGCCATCTGCTCTGACTAGTTCATATTTCGCGGCATTTAGGTGCTGCCCTCTGTAGGCTCACCCACGTCAGTGGGAGGCTGAGCCCATCTGCCCTCACTCCTAGGCCGACCCTCTTGATAGACACAAGTGCTCCCCCTCCACGGACTGGCTTGCGGTCACTCCCTCACACTGCCCGTTGTGTACTCACTCCTATCCAATTAAAGCCAAACTAGTCCACGGCCGTATCATTGCTACCTACGCTACCTTCATCGGCGCTAAACCGCTGTTCAGCAGTAAAAACAGCAATAACACTTCTGCTGTAGTTGCTGTCTCTTTTAGGTCATCAATTAGAGTCATACTTCCTAATTGTGACACTATGCTCTCTGTATCTGAATCATAATCAGACATCTCTGCACGAGCAGGAAACAATATATGTATCTTTAATTAATGCTCTGACAGTTTCTGCTGTGTAATTCCTGTTATACGTCACACCGAGCTATTTGGCTACTCGCCAACACGTCTGAAGTTTTAACGTGCTTAACATCGACAAAGTCAGAGAATCAATTAACTGTTTCACTTTGACATACATCACAAAAATAAGTGCACTACGAGAGAGTGATTATGAGAAACTAAAATCCTAATAGGAATTTTAGTGTTGGTTGTCTTAGAGCTAGAGCTCATAAACAGTATTCCATCTCCTTGAATCAAGAGACTCAGTCAAGTACATACATCCACATATTATGTTGTACAAGACTTCAGATTAGGAAAGTACTCAAAGTGTTTGACCATAGAGTTACTAGTGTGTCAAACTGGACAATTTCTCCAACACCTTGGACGAAAAGCATCCCAGACAAGCCCCCATTTGTTACAAAAAATGCGATATCTAATAATCATAGAGATCTCCAGTGAATACTAGAAAGAACTGCCCTTCTGGCATCCAACCTGTTACTGGGTTTTTGTAACAAGTAGTCAGTATCCTGGTCCAATTATCCATTAGACTTTAATAGTAAGATACAATAGTGCTTCAGGATTACAACTGGTAGGCTACTAACTAAAGAAATTAAAATTTAATAAGTTTATTAATAACAAAGTTGACTAGGCATATAAAATCAAAGTAAATTAAAGTAATCAAAATAATCACTTCTCTTGTGTACAGTAGTATTGCGCTGAAGGCACATATTACATCTTTATGGCTTTTAAGTACCATCTGGTTCACTGTTAGCATTTAATAACATAATACTAATATATACAAGTGAGTATGTGTGTATGTGTGTAAGTGCTCTAAGTAGTTTGCTATGTCTCAAGATTTGACTAGACTTAACCAGTGACTGACTAAAAGTCCTCATATAAACTAACTTCTTGACAAACCTGGCAATCAGAACAGCTTGTTTGAACAGTAATACGGCTGATAAGTCGAACAGCAATAAGACAAGCAACAGCTACACAGAATCAGGAAGAAGGAGATAATATAACGACACTAAGTAGGAACCATCTGCAGATCCTCCACAAAAGTCACAAAACTCCCATACTACTGAATCTAAGTTCAGCATTAGAAAATCCCCGACTGTGACAGTGCACAGATACCAGTACAAGTTAGATCAGAAGCTACAGCTCAGGACCTGAGTTTCTCGGAGTGTCAATGCGACACACAACCTCAGTACAACATCGAAAATCACTAAGTCTAGGCTATGTTCTGTGAACAGAGTTACACAGAACCAACAACAAGAAAGCGACAGAGGATCTTCCAACAAGTGCCAGCATGGAAGGGCTGGTGAGAGGCTCGTCTTGTCGGAAGCAACGTAAAACAGAGAAGAGAGAGAGATAGCTCCCGAGCAAAAGCTAGCGAAGGACAGACTATCTCTCACCCAGGTGAGGTGTGATCACCCCACCCTGATCACGTGGCTCCATGGACTGCTGCTGCCCAGCAACACAGAAGCTGGCAGGGAAATGAGCGGAGCGATAGTTACACTAGTTAGACAATGCTGTCGGCTACTTAACACTCTTGAACTATGAGCACTGAATAATATATAAATCCTACCTAATAATAAAACTAAGTTAAATAATAATATAAAGCAATATATTTACAATTTAGCTAATATCGCAAATATAAGCAATATAAAACTATAAGAACAGATAATATACATTATATACATTGTGACCCATTCAGGGGTCGCAATAGTCTGTCTGATCAAACATTTATCCAAGAAGCCAGAATTATTTCATTTCTGAAGAAATGCTAAACCTGTAAAGGTCATACAATGCCTAGGAAATGGGAGTCGTTCTGTTTTGATGCAAAAACAAAAAAATAATGTAACTCAAAAATAGTTTACCTCATGATTATTATATTCATGAGCAAGTGCTAAATCAGTATGGGTCATACAGCCCCTGGAAAATAGGAAGAGGAGGGTATTCATATCTGATGCAAGGAAGGTGAGGGATAATTCTAACTCCTTGGATTAAGAGTATATCACCCATATCAAGGCAATCATTCTTAAAAGGAATTTTCTAATGAATGAACTCTCATGTGTTGTACTAGGGATGATCTCCATTTAAAGTCTTTTAGACATTCAGAACACTGATATGATTTTTCTTGAGAATGAACTTTCATGTGTTGTATTAGATTTGAGTTATTTGTAAAGTCTTTTAGACATTCACAGCACTGATATGGTTTTTCTTGTGAATGGATTCTCATGTGTCGTATTAGGAAAGATTTACGTGAAAAGTCTTTCAGACATTCAGAACACTGATATGGTTTTTCTTGTGTATGGGCTCTCATATGTTGTATCAGGGATGATCTATGTTTAAAGTCTTGTAGACATTCAGAACACTGATATGGTTTTTCTTGAGAATGAACTCTCATGTGTTGTATTAGATTTGATCTATTTGTAAAGTCTTTTAGACATTCACAGCACTGATATGGTTTTTCTTGCGAATGGATTCTCATGTGTCGTATTAGGGAAGATTTATGTGAAAAGTCTTTTAGACATTCAGAACACTGATATGGTTTTTCTTGAGAATGAACTCTCATGTGTTGTATTAGATTTGAGCTATTTGTAAAGTCTTTTAGACATTCACAGCACTGATATGGTTTTTCTTGTGAATGGATTCTCATGTGTAGTATTAGGGAAGATTTATGTGAAAAGTCTTTTAGACATTCAGAACACTGATATGGTTTTTCTTGTGAATGGATTCTCATATGTTGTATCAGGGATGATTTACGTGAAAAGTCTTTTAGGCATTCAGAACAATGATATGGTTTTTCTCGAGAATGAACTCTCATGTGATGTATTAGATTTGATTTATGTGAAAAGTCTTTTAGACATTCAGAACACTGATATGGTTTTTCTTGTGTATGAACTCTCATATGTTGTATTAGACGTGATTTATATGAAAAATCTTTAAGACATTCAGAACACTGATATGTTTGTTTCCTTGAAGGAACTCTAATGTATTGCATCTTATCGTTTGTCATAAATGACCTTTAAGTTCTTAACACCTTTACTATTGTGACTCCCAAAATTAAAAGTGCTGAGCGTGTCAAAATTTTCAAATGGTAAAGAATGTTTTTCTCAGGTTATGACACCACAAATGCAACATCTGATGGAAAACTAAGATAATTGTTCAGGCACAACTATATGCATCAGCAATTTGGCCTATTTTACATCCTATTTTAGCCTATTTCAATAATTAAGTTGATCCAGTTCCTAGCCAACATACCTACTCTTCTATTAATTATGCACAGGAAACCAATCATTCAATTATTTTAAGGTAATTAGACTAATTTTACAAATACAAAAAATTCTAATTTAAAAACAGAGTTCAAAATAAAGAGAGGGTAACTTCCCTAAGCAACTGGATCTATTAGACAGAAATTATTGGAGAAACCAGAAGTAACAACCATGCAGTGCCAAAGTCTGGAGATGACCAAGAACATGAAGTCTCCATGTTGCCTCAGACTCTCTCTCTCTCTTCAGGTTGAAACACTGCCTCTGAAACACAAATATTAGAATAGTGATAGTTAAGTACTGATTATGTTACGTGTCTGACTCTTACTACCAGACGAGGAGAGAGTAATGATGAGAATGAACTAGAGGTGGTGGACTGTATTATGATAATAGTTGAGTACAGATTAGTGTTGATGGTGGATGAACATTAATAATACAGTAACAAAACAGATTAATGAAGATGCTGAAAAACACTGTAAACATTCCAGTCGCTAAAACAATTTTGCCTCAGTTCAGTATGTCCCCTGTGGCTTCTACTATATAATACCATAAATCTCTGAGTACTAAAATATAATCATCCCAATAATTGAAGCAGACCTACTGAAAACATGTACAAAACACGTAGGGGCTAGGGAGGATCCTACCCTTCTTCAGGGAAACTGCCAAAAATCAAATATTTTTGTCACTTTGAGCTCTACTTCAGACTACTTCCAGTTTGAAACCAACCAAAGTCCTCTCCTTTTCATTAGTAAGTCTTCCATTTTATCAATTAACACCAGGAAACAACCAGTAAAACCATACACATTATCGTGATCTCACTTGTGTGCTAGAACTCTAAACTGTGCCAGTGAACTTATAAGCTTCATCACTCCAGTGTTTGGAACCAACATATTAGAAAGCAATATTCACTATGTCAAAAAAAGAAGAATTAGTATGCAATTCCTGCCAGAGTATACTCTCAGAGGGGACCTTTAAGCTTAGTGTGTGTGCAAATAACAATACTAGAACTTTTGGCCAGAGGAAAGAGAGTCTCCAAGATAATAGTGTCATACATACACGTGGCCCTCCACATTTACAAGGATTACGGGATCAAGAACTTCGCGAATGTTGAACATTCTCAAATGTTTGGTGCCCAAACACACTGTAGGGAAATATAGTAGAGTAGACCCTTGGGTAATGATGACATCGGATAGCTATAAAATCGGATACAGATGTGTTTTCGCATAAAAATATTGGCTCGGCCAACGATGAAAAACTCAGTTAAGGACATTCGTCCCGAACGTGTCTGCGCGGCCTGAGCCCATGTACAAGGTAGTGTGCCATTGTTTACAAGCCAGGGAGGATGATTCCACTCATACATGTGATATATTTTGTATTATTCCATTTTTTTAGTGCTTGTAACTGCTAAATAAGCCACCATGAGGTAAAGAAGGAAACACAACATTCAAGAAAAAACTCGTAGCAAAGTATGAAAGTGGAGGAGGAAGAGAGAGGGGAGAATGTGCCTTCTGCAGTGATTCTATAATACGTACGATACTAAAGCAGAAGGTATCAATAAAGGCTATAGTGCCAGCCAGGGATTAAGTGTAAAATTAACAGAGTAGCAAGTTAAGCGAGTAAACAATAGAAAAATGACACGAAAGTAACTCTCCAATGTTGTTGTGCGTATCGGGCCGCTGAACATATGCAGCCCTGGTATGTATCTTCCACCACTTAGCATCTCCTCCATCAAACTAATTAAACTAACATCTCCTCCAAGTGTAAATATAAAAGTGTAACTATAAGTGTATATATAAGTGTAAATACAAAAGGATCCCAATGGAAATACATAAGTCACTCTGACTTTTTTTGGTTATCCTAGGTACTTTACACATATGCTGCTATGTATTATAATCTAGGTATGTAACTGTATTTGTGTATACCTCAATAAACCTATTCATAAATTAAAATGTAAATATTTCTAATTTATAAATTAAAATGTAAATATTTCTTATTTATAAATTAAAAGGGAAATATTTCTTATTTATAAATTTATTATTATTATTATTAACACATAGGTAGTAGGTTGGTATAGGTAGTAGGTTGGTAGACAGCAACCACCCAGGGAAGTACTACCGTCCTGCCAGATAACTGTGAAACAGAAACCTGTAACTGTTTTGCATGATGGTAGGATTGCTGTTTTCTTTTTCTGTCTCATAAACATGCTAGATAACAGGGATATCTTGCTACTCCTACTTACACTTTAGTCACACTTCACAGACACGCATATGCATATATATATACATACATCTAGGTTTCTCTCCTTTCTAAATAGCTCTTGTTCTTCTTTATTTCTTCTATTGTCCATGGGGAATTGGAAAAGAATCTTTCCTCCGTAAGCCATGCGTGTCGTATGAGGCGACTAAAATGCCGGGAGCAATGGGCTAGTAACCCGCTCTCCTGTAGACATTTACTAAAAAAGAGAAGAAGGAAAACTGGGATGCTTAAATGTGCATGGATGTAGTGCGGATGACAAGAAACAGATGATTGCTGATGTTATGAATGAAAAGAAGTTGGATGTCCTGGCCCTAAGTGAAACAAAGCTGAAGGGGGTAGGGGAGTTTCAGTGGGGGGAAATAAATGGGATTAAATCTGGAGTATCTGAGAGAGTTAGAGCAAAGGAAGGGGTAGCAGTAATGTTGAAGGATCAGTTATGGAAGGAGAAAAGAGAATATGAATGTGTAAATTCAAGAATTATGTGGATTAAAGTAAAGGTTGGATGCGAGAAGTGGGTCATAATAAGCGTGTATGCACCTGGAGAAGAGAGGAATGCAGAGGAGAGAGAGAGATTTTGGGAGATGTTAAGTGAATGTATAGGAGCCTTAGAACCAAGTGAGAGAGTAATTGTGGTAGGGGACCTGAATGCTGAAGTAGGAGAAACTTTTAGAGAGGGTGTGGTAGGTAAGTTTGGGTTGCCAGGTGTAAATGATAATGGGAGCCCTTTGATTGAACTTTGTATAGAAAGGGGTTTAGTTATAGGTAATACATATTTTAAGAAAAAGAGGATAAATAAGTAGACATGATATGATGCAGGGCGAAATGACAGTAGTTTGTTGGATTATGTATTGGTAGATAAAAGACTGTTGAGTAGACTTCAGGATGTACATGTTTATAGAGGGGCCACAGATATATCAGATCACTTTCTAGTTGTAGCTACACTGAGAGTAAAAGGTAGATGGGATACAAGGAGAATAGAAGTATCAGGGAAGAGAGAGGTGAAGGTTTATAAACTAAAAGAGGAGGCAGTTAGGGTAAGATATAAACAGCTATTGGAGGATAGATGGGCTAATGAGAGCATAGGCAATGGGGTCGAAGAGGTATAGGGTAGGTTTAAAAATGTAGTGTTAGAGTGTTCAGCACAAGTTTTGTGGTTACAGGAAAGTGGGTGCGGAGGGAAGAGGAGCGATTGGTGGAATGATGATGTAAAGAGAGTAGTAAGGGAGAAAAAGTTAGCATATGAGAAGTTTTTACAAAGTAGAAGTGATGCAAGGAGGGAAGAGTATATGGAGAAAAAGAGAGAGGTTAAGAGAGTGGTGAAGCAATGTAAAAAGAGAGCAAATGAGAGAGTGGGTGAGACGTTATCAACAAATTTGTTGAAAAATAAGAAAAAGTTTTGGAGTGAGATTAACAAGTTAAGAAAGCCTAGAGAACAAATGGATTTGTCAGTTAAAATAAGAGAGGAGAGTTATTAAATGGAGAGTTAGAGGTATTGGGAAGATGGAGGGAATATTTTGAGGAATTGATAAATGTTGAAGAAGATAGGGAAGCTGTGATTTCGTGTATAGGACAAGGAGGAATAACATCTTGTAGGAGTGAGGAAGAGCCAGTTGTGAGTGTGGGGGAAGTTCGTGAGGCAGTAGGTAAAATGAAAGGGGGTAAGGCAGCCGGGATTGATGGGATAAAGATAGAAATGTTAAAAGCAGGTGGGGATATAGTTTTGGAGTGGTTGGTGCAATTATTTAATAAAAGTATGGAAGAGGGTAAGGTACCTAGGGATTGGCAGAGAGCATGCATAGTTCCTTTGTATAAAGGCAAAGGGGATAAAAGAGAGTGCAAAAATTATAGGGGGATAAGTCTGCTGAGTATACCTGGTAAAGTGTATGGTAGAGTTATTATTGAAAGAATTAAGAGTAAGACGGAGAATAGGATAGCAGATGAACAAGGAGGCTTTAGGAAAGGTAGGGGGTGTGTGGACCAGGTGTTTAAAGTGAAACATATAAGTGAACAGTATTTAGATAAGGCTAAAGAGGTCTTTGTGGCATTTATGGATTTGGAAAAGGCGTATGACAGGGTGGATAGGGGGGCAATGTGGCAGATGTTGCAAGTGTATGGTGTAGGAGGTAGGTTACTGAAAGCAGTGAAGAGTTTTTACAAGGATAGTGAGGCTCAAGTTAGAGTATGTAGGAAAGAGGGAAATTTCTTCCCAGTAAAAGTAGGCCTTAGACAAGGATGTGTGATGTCACCGTGGTTGTTTAATATATTTATAGATGGGGTTGTAAGAGAAGTAAATGCGAGGGTCTTGGCAAGAGGCGTGGAGTTAAAAGATAAAGAATGACACATAAAGTGGGAGTTGTCACAGCTGCTCTTTGCTGATGACACTGTGCTCTTGGGAGATTCTGAAGAGAAGTTGCAGAGATTGGTGGATGAATTTGGTAGGGTGTGCAAAAGAAGAAAATTAAAGGTGAATACAGGAAAGAGTAAGGTTATGAGGATAACAAAAAGATTAGGTGATGAAAGATTGAATATCAGATTGGAGGGAGAGAGTATGGAGGAGGTGAATGTATTCAGATATTTGGGAGTGGACGTGTCAGCGGATGGGTCTATGAAAGATGAGGTGAATCATAGAATTGATGAGGGGAAAAGAGTGAGTGGTGCACTTAGGAGTCTGTGGAGACAAAGAACTTTGTCCTTGGAGGCAAAGAGGGGAATGTATGAGAGTATAGTTTTACCAACGCTCTTATATGAGTGTGAGGCATGGGTGATGAATGTTGCAGCGAGGAGAAGGCTGGAGGCAGTGGAGATGTCATGTCTGAGGGCAATGTGTGGTGTGAATATAATGCAGAGAATTCGTAGTTTGGAAGTTAGGAGGAGGTGCGGGATTACCAAAACTGTTGTCCAGAGGGCTGAGGAAGGGTTGTTGAGGTGGTTCGGACATGTAGAGAGAATGGAGCGAAACAGAATGACTTCAAGAGTGTATCAGTCTATAGTGGAAGGAAGGCGGGGTA